CCGATCGGTTTGATTCATGGTGGTTGCATGTTTCCTCCCTTAAACCTTTCCTGCAGCTGAGCTCGTCACCGCGCTGATTGCACAGATTGATTTTGAGGTCACTTGCAAACAATGTTCAACCATACTGTTTTCGCTGACTCATGCGCCTTTCCGTTCCTTCGCCTTCCTTCTCGACTTGGGAATTGAGTTGACAGAAAACCAATGTCAGAGTGTGTGCGCGTCTCGTCGGCTTTTGAATAAAGCAGCGTTGAACCTCATGTGGGGTATAATATATATAATATATATATATTTATACATCACATAATCGAGATCACCCGAGTTGTTCATAATTTGATCAACCATAAGGATGTTCAGAATTAACTTTCAAGCTTTGCACATCAATGTCTTCCTCCATCTCATCCCGGTGGAGGTCATTCCAACACCCCGACTGATCGTAGTGCCGACTCCGTGCGCGCAGCGACTGCGGAGTCCTGAATGTAGTAGCAAAAGTTGTCCGCATTCTTCAAGGCCTTGTAGAGGCCCCATTAACAAGTGGGGATGCATCCCAATGAGCATGGCCATGGAAGTACAAACGCCATCTGTATGTCTGTCAGAAGCTCTTAAGTATCCACACCCTCTGAGATGTTCAATGTTGTCAGCCAGGAGATCTATGCCTCACTAAGCACTGGGCGGCTTGGGATAGGAATGGCCCAGTGGGGCACCTCCCAAACCCTCAATAGACTCAATCTTGTACAACTCCAACTGCTTTGGGTGATGTTTGGTGAGAAAAGAGTCAGGGGATGAACGCCCTGGAAACCAACATGTACACCCTGGAAGAGACCCGCATGGATTCTGAAAAACCGCTTTATAAAGGAAGCAAGCTAGCCTAGCCTAGCAGCTCATCCTTTTGACCACCCCCGCCTAGCACCCTATGATTGAATGTCAAGAAGACCGTCCACACGGAGTCCACACCAAACGGCCTGCAAGGGCTGCCTCTTTGCCAGCTTCTGACAAGTGCGGCGCCCATAAGCCTCGTCTGAACGGAAGCTTTCTGGCG